AGCTTTTCAAAATCTAACCATAAGATTACATACAATGCTACAACATATGTTTGCCAAACCCTTAGACCAAAGAATATCATGATTCACTACTTCCACTCATCTATGCTGAAAATAAATCAATTTTATCATTTCTTAATTTATATCACTTTAAAATGTTTATAATTATAAGTTTTTAATTTTCACTCATCAAAATATTTTTAACAAAATTTATAAATTATTTTTAAGATTAAGTCGTCCAGACAACTAATATTTCAGTCGTCCAGACGACTGAAAACTAGCTCAATCTGACTCAGACAACTTACAGGGGCTAAATTCGTAAAAATGTCTTCTGTTTTTTTGTTTGGTCACAAAGGACTATACTGTAATTTCATACCCCTTTTAGGTTAGATTTGCATTTGATTGAAGTTTGGGTCTAGTATTGGAGTTAAAACCAAGTTGTAGGTTAGTTTTGGCAAAAACCCCTAGATTATTGGGAAAAAAAGACTTTCTTCAGATCCACCAAAAGCATCTCAGTTGTTTTGCACACGTTAAAATCAAGTGTATCATGCCCCTTAATCTTAAAGTTTGAATCAACATATCATTATAGAATAGATATGTAATAGATATTCGTTGCCTTTGTTTCTCTTTCGATTAGAATTAAAACTCCTTGCATCAATCAGGTTGAGATAGTTCTCGGAATGCCTTTGTAAGCATCACTGGTATTTTTCAAATTGCAACAAAAAGCAAGAATATGATACTGTATGTAGATTTACATATGGTCTTCAGCGTTATAAATAATATATATATATATATATAATTGTATATGCACTGAGGATTTTTCTCAAGGTTGTTCCTCAATCATCATATCCATAACTCCTTGTGCTTATTACTTTGGTTGGATATTTGTTTTATATATCATGTAGTATATAATATAGTATTGATTAAGAAGAAAATAAAAGCAAACGACCTTTTGGTAGACATTATGAAACTTGTAAGAGATGTATACTACTGGAGTGTTATCTATGTATATATACATAATTTAATGTGTGGAAGCCGGATTATTAAAAAATAATCCGACACAACTAATACGTCGCATACATTAAATAATAAACTGTCCAACATTTAACAAGCTTCAGCAACATAACCTTAGTGCTGTCTGGAAATGAAATTGATGATTATGCTAAAGCCTTTATCCACTTTATTAAGTATGCATATGGTAGAATATAAACCGAATCCAAAACTCCTTCGTCTTGGCTAATAAAAGATAATCCAGAGTTTTCTTTATTGGTCTTTAACAGCAAATCCATATATATTAGTATATTTTATTATCCCTATAAATTTAACATACTTAATTTTGTTGGTAGCTTTTAATAATAGATGCATGATACTAAATAATCATTGAATTTATAATAATATTCAAAAAAAAAAAAAATTGTGATCATGAAAGTGATGAGAATTGAGAAGTGGCACTGTCAAACACTTTTGACATGTCTTGTCCGGAGAATGTTTACTCTGGTGGTGGGGTGAACACGAATATAAATGAAGTTGCTTATTTAGGAAAATTTGAATATGATTTAAGGTAAGTAGTGAGTTTTTATGCTAAAATTCACTCGGTGACCTGAAATATTCCGATCGTGACGTGAAAGCCACCCTTTCGAGTTTCGAACTTCAGGCACATCCTGAACCGAGTCAATGTTTTTATGGAAGCGATTTATCATTAAATGAATCATATTCACGCGTGTCAGCTTCTGCACGTGCGAGTGTGAGCTGGTTTTAGCTGGCTGGTCTTGTGACGTGAAGGCATCGCAACCGACGGGGACAAACATCCAACGGCGTCTGACGCGCCTGTTATCTTCTTATTCACTTCCACTTCATGTCTCTTTAGTCTTTCACAAGCTTCGCGATTTACGAGCTTGCATCTGCCATCATCGAGCGAACCATACACAATTAATCCCCTCAGCAACTGAGCAACCTCTCAATTATACTACTACTGTAGTAATACTACTATGACTAACTTGCTTTATGCTAAAAAGCCAAAGAAACAAATACAAACTGGCTGAAAATAAAGGAACCGTCTAATCATAACTTTCAGAAAGGTGGAATAATTTTAGAATTTCATAAATTTTACAAACTTGAGATTTGAAGTTTAACGTTTGCACATTCTTTTTGGTGAATTGTATTATTCTCGTTTAACATTTATACTGTTTCTTTTTATCTCCTAATAGTTTTTACTGTTACTGATTAAACCACTAAAATATGTTTTTGTGATCCTTATATTTTGTCTATATATATTAATTATATTAGTTAGTACTAGTGAATTGCAAAGTCGGAGCTGATGATGTTGGATAATTAGCTACCAACTGAACTGAGTAAACCAACACAAAATATAACATAAGTATATTTCTGATTAATAATTTCGTTTGCTAGAAGAGTCGTGAAAATGTGATTATTGAAACAACAACTAACTACATATACATTTTACATGGCTTTTTACAAGGATTGAATGAGTAACATCATTATTTCGTCAATAAATATTAGCATGTTAATAAATCGTGGAGTCTTCGGATCTATATATACATTTTTTATCAAAAAGATCTCTCTATATATATACAAGTTTTAAGTTCTAAACAAAAAATCCTGCTATACATACATGATCATTGTGTTAGAAAACTGTATAGAATATTAGGGTCGGATTGGTTCTCCCGCCATCACCCGCAAACGCAGCTTTTGCGGTTGGTAACGGTTGTTGGCGTTTTGCAACAACCACAAAAAACGCTATAAACCGTTTCAAATTCCTCCGAATCTCTAAAATTCAAAAGCTGGTTCCAGCTAGCGTTTGCGGTTGCGGGCGATTGCGGGAGGATAAAAAATATTTTTTTTCCAATCTATATAAATATAAAAATAAAATATTCAATTAAAATAATTTAAATACTGAAATATTTATATTATAAAATTTCTAAAAAATATTTTATTTAATTTTTTAAAAATTTAATAGTGCAGCTTTCAATAAAAATTTTACATTCATCATGAAAATATGATTTTAATATTTTGATAATTATATAAAATATAAATATTGTTAATTTACTACTTAATCGTCGTTCTATTTGATGATAAACCAGTCATAAGTATCTCGCAAACGTAATAATTTTTAATCGTTGAATCAGTCGTATAAATCTCTTACTAATACTTAAAACCGCAATCTCCTGCATCCACAAACGTTCGCAACCACAACCACAATCGTTGAGTTGTAACCAGTCAGACCCTTAGTATTATTAATCATACAATAATATAACGCATAAACGTATATAAGTATATACAATGTGTGGTTCTCTTCTCCTAGATTTTAAGTGACATATTTAAAACAGTTTCTGTCATTATCCAACCACAATAACGTCTCTCCTTCACATTCTCAGCTTGTTTTGCCATTTCAACTCTTAATTGTTTGTCACTAACTTTCACGCACCTTAATTAATCTTAAAACGTACACATATCTATATGCGGACACATGTATCTTTTTCAAGAATATTTGTGAAGACCAATAACAAAAACATTTATTTTGAGGAAATTAAATAAAACAATTAGATGCATTTTCTATACAGATAACCTTAGGAATCCTCTATAAATATGATATGGATTCACATTTCTTAGTGATTGTTTGAAAGTTGTCTTTCAACGCAAATCAAAATGAATACTTGACTGCTAAAGAGGAAATATAACAGTGTTTGGCTTATTCTACCTACCTCATTGTATTATATTTTCTCCGTTGCTCTTTAACTATTGAATGTGTGTATAAATAGATAGAAATTGATATTTTTAAATTCTACCGTTACGAAGGAGAAACATAATACCGTACATCAGGGCATGTCCCAGCTATAATATCATCATCAGCTAGGTTTAGTTTTTAAAAGGCAATTTAGATTCAGTGTAGACTCGTGTGCTCCAATTTGTGTGTCCATATATTGTTTGATGTAATTCCACGCATCCATGGAATTATATATGCTGCACCTAGTAAATCAACATCCAATATTTTCACGGACTTTTTTTCCAAATATAAAAAATAAAACAACTGAAATTTATACACAACGGAGAGATGGCCACAAAAAGTGGACCCCACAAATGACACAGTAAGTAGGACCCATACACCGCCCATGCGGCACGCTGTCTATCTAAAGTCTAAACCAAAACTAAACCCATCTTCCATCTGAATTCTTTCTTAACATTAACCTCTCAGACCTAACCCTAAATCCATCTCTCTCTCTCTCTTCTCACAAGCTTCATTTTCGTGTATTACTAGTTCAGCTCCAGTTTCATTTTACATGTACATGACTTTGTATCTCTTTTCCTTTTCTCTTATTCTTCTTCAAAATTTCAATATTTTCCCCCTTAATTAATTAATTGAATTGAGCTTCTGTGTGTATCCATCCTCAAATTAGGAGAAGAGGAGAATAATTAATTAGGGCTTTTAACTGTTTGCCTTTTGCTTTTCATTCAAGAAATGGATCAGCTCTCTCGCTCTCTTCCTCCACCTTTTCTCTCAAGAGACCTCCATCTTCACCCACACCATCAGTTTCAGCATCAGCAGCAACATAACCACGGCCACGATATCGACCAACACAGGATCGGTGGACTAAAACGCGATCGAGACGCTGATCAGATCGATCAAAACGAGCACTCTTCAGCTGGAAAAGATCAAAACACTCCCGGTTCCGGCGGAGAAAGCGGTGGAGGCGGAGGAGGAGATAACCATATCACGAGAAGGCCACGTGGCAGACCAGCCGGATCTAAGAACAAACCAAAACCACCCGTCATCATCACTAGAGACAGCGCAAACGCTCTTAAGTCCCATGTGATGGAAGTAGCTAACGGATGTGACGTCATGGAAAGCGTCACCGTCTTTGCTCGCCGTCGTCAACGTGGTATCTGCGTTCTGAGTGGTAACGGCGCCGTTACGAACGTTACCATAAGACAACCAGCTTCGGTTCCTGGTACTGGTGGCTCATCTGTCGTTAACTTACACGGACGTTTCGAGATTCTTTCTCTCTCGGGATCTTTCCTCCCTCCTCCTGCTCCACCGGCTGCGTCCGGTCTAACGATTTACTTAGCCGGTGGTCAAGGACAGGTCGTTGGAGGGAGCGTGGTGGGTCCACTCATGGCTTCAGGACCTGTTGTGATTATGGCTGCTTCGTTTGGGAACGCTGCGTATGAGAGGTTGCCTTTAGAGGAAGATGATCAGGATGAGCAGCAAACGGCTGGAGCGGTTGCTAATCATATAGATGCAAACGCATCTATTGGCGGCGGGACCCAAACGCAAACACATACTCAGCAGCAGCAACAGTTGATGCAAGATCCCACGTCGTTTATACAAGGGTTGCCTCCGAATCTTATGAATTCTCAACTGCCAGCAGAAGCTTATTGGGGAGCTCCAAGACCATCTTTCTAAATCGGGAAAATAAATTAGATATGTTCATCTTTTTCATTTATAATATATCTTCTGTCAAATTTTAATTTACTTTTTCTCCCTTTGTTTTCTAGCCTTTGATGAAGAGGATCGTTTCTGTCATGGGATCGATCTCTTAGGGTTGAGGGGGAAGGGGGTTGTATGTTTGCGTTGACTAGGAGACTATAAGTTGTTGAATTTTCAGTTTTTATGATCCATGTGTTGGTGATAAATGATAACTAAGCTTTGCGTAATGTTGATTGAAACTTATATAGATTTCATTGAAATGTTACAACGTTCAACGAGTAGAGAAAGCTCATACTTAGTTAACAGGTTTCTAACAATGTCAATTAATTTGAATTTGGTCAAATATTTGTTTTTAGTCAGTTACTAATTTATCAAATTCAAACACATATGTTCTTTTTAAAATCACATTTTTTACTTGTTTAAAATATTTAACAGCGGTTATTTCTATTTGTTTGCTATAGAATAATTTTTTAAAAAAATTAAGATATTAATTATAAGAAAAAGGAGAAAAGATGATTGTTCCGAGGTTGGTAAGAAGATGGTGAGGCAAGAGGCATAATGACAAGAACAAGGCTTGGGAACAAGGTGATTGCATGTGCCAGATACTTGTGTTTGCACATTTACACGAAATCCGTATAATGTATATAGTAATATCCAAATATGAAAAATCAAATATAGTTTTTTTTTTTGCTAAAAAAAAATCAAATATAATTTGTAGCTTTCTCAGTTAAATGTAAGAAAAGGTCCGAGTAGAAATAGATTCTAACAACTGTGACAAGAAAATGATGATAACATTGACTAACTCACTTGACCATTGCCTAATATATAGATCACATACATTTTATGACAGAATATAATTTGTGTGTATAGGGTTTGATTTGTAAGTGAGAGAGAAGAGAAGAAGAGCATTGGGTGAAGCACCGACGCACGTGCGTGTCTGTGAGAAGGAAAAGTTCCTTTACGAGGCGATGAGTGAAGTGAGAGTGTTCCTTACTTCCAAAGCCTTCTCTCTCTTTTGCATTTACATCTCATCTACTCTTTCACCTTCCATTAGAGCACCATTATCGGTTCAGAGCATGAGAGCATCTTGGTTAACCAAAGTGATTGAGGAGGGGTTCTTAGTGCTTTTGACAACGTGTGCCCCACAAAATACTCAAACACCAGTTACAAAAATTTTCATTTAAACACTCTACTTGGCTATTTACTTGCACTGTTCGCGGGTTCCATTGATATGTGGTATCTCGTAGTGGCAATCCCAGAAAAAAAATAATATGGGGTCAAAACAATATAAAAATGTTTTAGATTCAATCATAGCCTTTTCAACCAATATGCCACTATCAACATATGAACATTGCTTTATATACTTTATGTGGTGTCAAGTGAACTGATACTCTCCAACGTGGGTCCACCCCTGGCAGCCCGCGATTGATTCATTTTTTATTTTTTATTTTATTTTTTAAAATCAGATAAAAAAAATTAAGCACCTAAATGAAGTTTTAGGGTTAAAGATGCTCTGATTAACCTTAAGAACCAAAATAGGTATCTTAATGATTTTTTAGTAATTAATGTTAATTAACAACCCATAGTTAAGATATTCCTAGTTTTTAAGTTTCAATGGTAGGTTTTAAAAAAAATATAAAAAAAAATTCTAAGACTAGACGACACAAGCATTCTCATCGTTATTGTAGATGATATTGCAATTGAGATGAAGAACCCCAATATGAAAGTCTTATCTACCGAGGCATTTGGCTGAACCGAAAATAGTCTCAAGAAAAAATTGATACGAGGAAAAATAAACAAAGTCTGCAAGGTAACCCCTTTACAGAGATTATCAATATCATCATCAATGGAAAAATAAATCTCTTAACAAGAACAAAGGAGAAAAGAAAACGTTTATTAATTTGATTAACAGTTTCTTTTCTCTCAACTCGAACTTTTATCTTTGATTTCATCTCCAACAACATCTTTCACCAACTCCAATGGTCTCTCATCAATCACTTCATTGATTATACCAAACACTTTAGCCTCTTCATCAGGAGTCATGAAATGATCCCAAACACGAATAATATGCTTCGTATGGATAGTCATATCCTTAGCTTACCCTCCTGAAGGTTGATGAATCATGACGGTTGCATTGGGAAGTGCCCGCCTCTGTCCTTTGGCACCTGCTGCCAACAGAAGAGAAACCATGGATACAGCATAGTGTCATAAATCACAAGACCTGCACAATTGCAAGATACACTATGATGGATCAAAACATTCATATCAATATTTCATCACTAAGAAGAAGATTCATCAACAGAAACTTCCTTCCATGAATCCGTGAGTTTTATACTAATCACTATCATGTTCTACAAAAGCACAATGATGGAACATTCCAAAAACTTCCTTCCATGTGACTTGAATGAGTTCTCGGTCACTCAGTTTTCCTCTCTTATGACTCTGCAAATGTAACTTGAAAAGTTAAAAACACTAAATCAAGCATATATTGTCATGTGGTTAAAGTTGTCCGGTTCAGACAAAAAGATGTGAACTTTTGGTAACTGTGAGTTGGATCCATATGAATATAGAAGGCATTCAAGAAGTATCTATTTTTTTTATCAAGAAACATATGATTATGTGTTTGATTATGAACATATTGAGTCAATTTATCTGAATGCAGAACTAGAGAAATTGTTAATTGGTTTCTCATACTGATTTCACAGATTACAAAAACTGAAAGTGACACGCAGAGATTGAATCTTAGAGAGAGAGAAAGGAACCTTGAGACAGAGGGTGAGAGAATACTCAAGCTCGTGTGCCATGTATCTGAACCATGTCGAGATTGAGACCATCACAGACACTTGGTAATCAAAAGTGAATGAATCTAAAGGTTTTTGAAAGATGGCTTCTCCGCCGCTGAATTCGTCAATCACATCCACGGAGAGAAAGAGGCAGAGTCTTGGATCGTGGAAGACACTACAAGAAAACCGTCCTTTACTAGAACCACTTTGCCTCGTAAATTCCTAGTAAATGGTCATTTACTAGGAACTTACGAGGAAACCCGTTTCCTCGAAACACGTTCATCGTAAAGCCTTTTCCTCGTAAGGTCCTAGCTATTTTATGAGGAAAATTTTCCTCGTAAAGGCGTGGATACGTATTTCCTCGTAAAGTCCTCGTACATGTTTCCTCGTAAAGTCATAGTAACACATTTCCTCGTAAAATCGTAGTAATGCTTTACGAGGAACTTACTAGTAAAGTTTACGAGGACATTACTTCGAAAATATTACAAGGAGTTTACTTCGAAATGTTTTTTCCCTATTAAAAAAATATTAATTATAAATTTAAATAATATATTTTAAAAAAATTAAAAAAACAAATTATAAATAAAAGGAGAAATAACAAAATATTTTATAAATAACTAAATATTTAAGTTTTAAAATTCATAATATACAATTAAAAATAAAAAAACTACGGATGGTGCTCGTTAAATTGCCGAACGAAGTCGTCCTGGCTCGCCAACTCCTCCTCCGTCGGCTGTGACTGTGACGGTGGATGATGCTGTTGGGTTGGATGCCCTCCGTTTTCCCGTCTCACACGCAACATCTCCGCCAATTGCAGGTTTCCAACCGCCAAAACGTCCAGTACATCGGTGAGAGAACTCACATGAGACTGCGTCGCCTGCAACTCCGAGCGCAGCTGAGCAGTGACATCGTGCTGAGCATAAGATGATGTTGCTGTGGGGACATCGTTAACGGAACCAATCCCGACGATATGTCCCTTTTTCCTAGGGACGACTTGTAAATAAAAAGATTAATAACGTTAAAAAAATAAATTAAAAAATAATAAAAAATAATAGAAAAACAAATTATTTATCTCCTCGTAAATCTTATCCACTTCAAGAGTGGATAATATGACTAGTGTCCCAGACTGCTGAGTCAGCTGGGTCTGGCGTTCGTCAACCCGAGCAACAACCTCGTTGTAGATCTGATAAGGGTTTTTAAGCCTTAGAGCAAATCAATGTAGTAAAGTAAGTAGAGTGTCAATCCAATCCTGAGAGCTATTGAACAAAGAGAATACAAGACATTGCTTAATCTAAATGCAATCAATGAGGGTTTGTTTTATAAGTAACTTAGTAACAAT